AAGGCTGATGAAAATTTCAATCGATGGCTTTTCACCCGTCCATTACTCCAAAATTATTCATCGATCTCTCGCTAACTCGGCGCCACTCTCCCTCGATCTTTTTTCATCGTCGCGATACCCTCGACGGTGACGACAATGATGGTTCCGAGAGAAGAAATCCCTCTCGACCATTTAGACGTTACAAAAAAACCGTACGGTTCTTCTCTCTTCTCTCTCTCTCTCTCTCTCTCTCTCTCTCTCTTTTCTATCTTTCTCTTTCTCTTCTTCCTCAATAGGTGATAAAAACGCCAGTTAAAACGCAATTCAGCTCTCTGAATATTTGAAAAGACCTTAAATTCTCTCTCATCGATTTATCTCGACGCGCATATTTTTCTTCTTGGAATTTTATAAAGTAACTTTTGGAAAGATTAAATAATTAAAATTAAATATATATATGCTTGTTATTAATAATAAATAATTTCCCTTTAATTTACTCTTGTGTATCAAGAAACTACGAATTTACCAGGCGTTTATTCGAGAAAGCGTGCGAGAGAAAGCCCGGTGAAAGCAAGAGAAGGATAGAAAGGACGAGGGAAGAGAGTCAACTGCGAACTCTCATCGTGTCACGTAGCACCTAATCTAGGTCAACGGAATTGAATTTAGAACCCAGTGCCAGGCTACCGTAGTTATATACCGCTCTGTAGGTTCAGCACCGCTTCTTCGCATAGGCAAAGCGTTTCCGGGTTCACAGCGAAAAAGACGCAACGCACACACACAGACTCTCTTGGATTCTGTTAAGTCGCGGCTGGACCAGAATGTAAAAGAGAAAAAAAAGAGTTTTGTGTTTTAAATTAACTGTACAATTCTTAATGTAGAAAACGGCGACGAGTTTTTGACCCATACATATTCGTAAATGTCTATTGACTCTCAGGATATTTTGGACATTAATATTATGGTTATTTATATATCTTGTAATATTTTTTCTATTAGTATTATAAAAATAATCTTTTATATGATAGTTGTTAGAAACAAATCAAACGAAACTAGATGAAATATTCATAAAATTGAAGATATTGCTCAAAGATAATTTCTTTTGTGTGATGTAATCACACACATACACATTACTCATTAAAAATTTTTTCTTTGAAGATAAACAAAAAATCACATTTCTCTAAACAATTAAAATTTTTATCTGTTCTATATCTTATACATTTATATATCGCGCGTATCTTCTCTACACATAATTATCTGAAATATAAATTTTGAAAACCTCCTAGGCGCGTAGAATCGAACCATGTGTATGCAGCAGAAAGAGAGTAGAACAAGACTAATGCCGCTAATGCCTCGTCGATGTAGTGGTAAGTAACGGGATCTAATAGCCGATACGCCCTTTCATCCTCGCAACGAGTGAGCGAACGAACGAGCGAGCGCGAGAATCAGCTGTCGCCTCTCGACGGAGAGCTAGTATCTTATTCGTCTCGCTTCCGTTCGTTTCCTTATGAGAACCCGACATACACATACAAAGCATTATTACGATCTCTCTCTCTCTCTCTCTCTCTCTCTCTCTCTCTCTCTCTTCTCTTCTCCACGCTCTTCGTAGATACAAATACAGATAGAAATCTCACATACGCGCAAGCAGATCGTATACAATGTGCGCGCGCTTCCTCGTTCCTCGCGCGACGGTATAACATACGGCCCCGAGGCCTTCCTTCGCCGCGCATTTACAGAGCAGAGAATTCCGGGAGCGGAACGCGCCGCGCCGCGCCGCGTCGCTCTCCACGTCGGCGGCCCGGGCAAGCAGGGAAATAATAGCCGAGTGATAGAGTCGAGCGCGGGGAATTTTTATGGTTAAATCGATGTTGCACACGCGGCGCGGGTCGCGGCTCGCGAGCGGGATGGAGAACGGTCGCGGTAGACGGAGCGAGCGAAGGAGATATTAAAGAGAGAGAGAGAGAGAAAGAGAGGAGAGGGTCTCTATTGTCGAAGAAAGAGACAGAGAGAGTGAGACGATGAGATAGCGAGGAGCGAAGGGCGCTAGAAATCTGGGGCGGGGATAGATCCGGGCTTTGCGCTCTCTCTATGTACGCGACCTTGAATGCCTGCCAGCCTAGACCTTGCCTCCGCTCTTTCGCTCGTTCGCTCGGCTCGTCTAGTCCAGAAAGGCCGTGTGATTGTTGTTCCAAGTAACACAGCGGCGACGACTCGAAACGGGCCCTCTCGCTCGCTCGCGATGACATCGTCTCTCTCTTTTCTCTCTCTCTCTCACTCTCTCGCGCGTGCCGATTACGTAAAAAGATCGTGACGCTTAAGGACATCGTGAACAAAACTGCGTTTTCTGTTAATATCGTGAACGGATTGCGACACGAAGATAATATATATGTCCGATCGCGTTACTTTACAATGAACGAATCTAATTCGAATCTAACGGCTCTCGAGCGATTCGCATAGCGGGATGAAAAATTTAAACGATTTGACGACAATCGCTCTAATCTCTCCCGTGTTAATCTACATCTTTATCTTAATATAAGATACCTTCAAAGATAGGTCCTGTCCGAGGGAAATTGAATCGCTAATGGTAGCCGTTGGTCGACAATTTAATTTAAAAGTTTCTTCTGAAGCGGGAGGACGCCTCGGGAAAGACGAAGTGAGACGAAGGCGACTGAAGTTGGCGCGCAACGGACCGATCGATCAATGACGACGAAATACATAGACGGACGGCGGGAATCGAGCATTCGACCGTCGCGATATTATTAATGACGCGTGAATTCGTACGCGTCATGAAGGCTTTTAAAGGATGCGGAATCTTCCCGTCTCGATCGCGCATCTTTTCTCCGACAGTAATTCCGATCGACACGCGGCAAAAACGCAACGTTGCGTGGCGGGAACGGACCGATATCGCGGGAAAAAGTAGAGAGGAAGGCGGGAAAGCATTCGCGAGTCTGCTGCTCGCTGGAGCGATCGCTCGCTGGGTGGGAATCATAACGGACCCTCGGGCCGGCGACCGACCGGGCCGCGCCTAGACCAGACGGATATAGCCGACGTAGCGTATCTCTATCTATCTATCTACGTGTCTCTACCCACTTACCTTTTTGCATTTTTGGCCAAGTAGCGCAATGCTCGCCGCCAATCGAATCGCCAGTGGCATCTGTACTCGGACGATCCAGGACGATCGCGAAATCGAGCCGCGCGATTATTTCCCGACGCTGGTCGCGCAAACTACATAGATCGCTCGACAGGTAGCAGCAGCAGTCGCTTAGATCGTTGATCGAATCGACGCCTTAGGGCCCATTCACACAGATTTGCATAGACGCATAATGAACATGCACAGGAAAGTCAAACAGTCATTCGGCACTCGATTGATTAATTTCCTTACGCATTATGCACTTATGCAAATTCGTCTGAATAGGCCCTCAGAACCGTCTTATGCGCGCGCCGCTTGAAAATCGACCTCGAACTTTTGTCAAGCGATTGCAGCGGTGATTAAAATCAGTATATGATAAACTCGTTTTCTATGTGTTATAGAGATTATTATAATCCCGAATAAATATATACACATTCCGACGTTTAATATCACAATTATAGATTATAAAATATAGAACAATATAGGCACTAAAAAATTCTCTAGAATGCTCAATTTTTATTGGTCGATTTGTACTTAAATTTACATTATTATTCGTCTCGTATCTATATCACAAGCGTTTATCAAGAAAGAATTGAGATATATTTTTAACATGTAAATTTCTAATCTTCAAAAGGATTAACTGTGATATTTTTGAACATACTTTTATCTGTGATATATATTTACTACTTATTTTATTAATTTCGGATATGGAATTATTTCACATTAAAGTATCAATAAATGATGGTCAAATAGAAATATAAAAAAAAATTACTAATTTTAATGCATTAATGCTATACGAATTTTGATTAATTATAAAAATCTGAATTACGGACGAGTTATTTTATTTTTTCAAATCATAAAGTTTTGTATATCTATTCTATCCGAAAATACAAATTTAAGAACACTCAACGTGATTAACCAATTTAATCATTTTGTTAGTACTAGTTACATTATTTTATGTTTTATGGTTTAGACAAATTCACAGTATTGAAAGCGTCGGAATTTATGATCGGAATGAAATTCTGATTTCGAAGATTATAGTAATTCAGGTTTAAACTATTAATCGAGGTCTATCCAGTATCAAACACGTTAAAATTGGTAAATTTCTTTCTATTTCTATCAATAAAATGCTCGATGTGATTAATCAATTTACTCACTATGTTAGCACTACTTACATTATTTTATGTTTTATGGTCTAGACAAGTTCACGATATTGAAAGCGTCGGAGTTATGGCCGGAAGGAATTTCGAGGATCATCCGTAATCCAGATCTAAACTATTATAATCGAGGTCCATCCAGCATCAAACACGTTAAAATTGGTAAATTTCTTTCTATTTCTATCGATTGATTGATATATTAAAGTATTACTTCATTTCATATTAATAAAATCATTAACAATAAGTGGTAAAATATATCAGAGACAAGGCATATATAACAGAAATAAATATAAATATCTTGCAATTAATTTTTTTATTTCAAAAGTTAATAATATTCACAGATTAAAAATATATTTCGATTCTCTCGAATAAATAAATTCTGATAAAATATAAATGCGCGAAAAATGGAATAACGTGAATATTGAACGTGAAGTTGTTACACGAAATTAGCGCTAAAGAAATTCGAAATTGGCAGCCATATTGAATATTTATATATTCGCGATATAAAAGTAGTCCGTATAATAGGTAGACGCATAATCGTATCGTTCGATTGCTTTGATATCCGACCGATATAAACAAAGTTTTTATAAACAGTTTTATAAACAGAGTTTTTATAAACAGTTCTGGTCGGCGCTCGAATTCGATTCCGCATATTGATACGATACGGTCGTATCAGTCAAATGAACAAAGAGCAAGAGATAACGCGTAAAGTTGCGCGCAAGCAAGTGCTCATGGGTAGCGCGACTGTTGGAGCGAATAGAGCGGCGATAGTACTCGGTTCAAACGTGTCGCGTCTTGTGGCTCGAACGTGCGTCTTCGAGTGCGTTTCGTCGAGTTAATTGGAAAAGAATCTTCGTCGGGATAATTCGCGAGTTCGCAGTTCCGTTTTCGCATAAAATGTATCCGCACGTCGCGGAGGTATCGCGTGCAAAAACGTCGACGAGCACGTCGTCGACCTGCTACAGCATTCCCAGCACGAGATTGAAGAATGTGATCTGTGTCCACTGTAAACACAAGTTCTACGTGCAAGGTAATTTCAGAGGCAACTTTTCGCGAGTAACACGATATCGTGCGACGACGCTACATATATACATATATATCGATTCGTACGCCGGCGTCAATTAAAATATATACCGGCTTTGCGTTGTAAAGTTCGCGAGATTGTTCGTATGATTGCGTTATCGTTGATATGCGTATATCGCGATGTCCGTAAACGTAAACAATGCTAACGGCGAAAGTAGACGGTTGTTTTTTTGATCGACAACGCGAATAAAAACGACGAGACCACAAGGAGGTTAGAATTACTTGCGAGCATGACTTCTAAGATGTTGTTTGTAGCGAGAAATGTTTGTAAATGAAGAAATACTTGTGTACCTTTTGTACTTATTCAAAGGTTCAATGAAAAATACAGAATATTTGAAGTTGATTAGAGAAACATTTTATGTTTTATATAATATTTATGCTTTTTATTAAGATTTATTTTACTTACATTTTCATACTTATTTTAAATAGAAAAAATTTTATTACAATTATTATATCTTTTAATAATAAGGATAATAAAATGCATAATATTAAAAACGACAGATATTTTATATATAATTATATTTTATATATCATATAATACAACTTTAATAAAAGTTAAGACGCATATCTTTTCTATAGTCTTGTTGTTTTCTTATTATTATATATTAATGGAAAATGTATAACTTATGCAACTTATATTCTTACATTTAGAAATAGATTATAATAAATAATTCATATAGGACAAAATAGAAAGAGCTTTGTCAAAATTGTTACAGATTTGTCAAAACTGAACAGGCCCATACAAAAAAGAAACTATATACCTTTGTTATTGGATTGTGGACATCCAATATGTAATAAATGTGTCGAGAAAATGGGAAATTGCTCTTTGTGTGATAAAAGCATTGCTACTGTAGGTGCTAGCAGTCGGAAATCCCTACTTCCATTGAATTTGTATGCATTAGGGCTGATTATTTCATCATATAATCATCCGTTAGAAAATGACGATGAAGATTTTCTATTTTGTCATACACTATCTACACAGTTACGTCAGATATCAAAGCAAGGTTAGAAAGTTAGCGCATTATTATATGAAATGGATTAATTTTTGCAAATAAAAAAAAGAGATTTAATTTATTCTTTTTGCTTATAGGATGTTGCCATGAATGTGGAAATCAAGCTAATGTAAACTGTCCGCAATGTGTGGCTCTCTATTGTCATGGCTGTTACTCAAAAGTAAATTAATATACTTTATATAAAAAAGAAACGTTTATAATTAATTAAATGTATCACATATTTTGATTTTGTTCTACTTTATAGATTCATGGAAGAGCACTACAGAGCCACACACAGGTTCCGATATATGAAGAAAGCTCTGATAGTCCTACTGCGATTTTGAATAGCTGTTCGCCAACGTGTTATGAAGCACTAAACTATTTTTGCAATGACTGTAATGTGGCCTGTTGTTCTAATTGCACTTTGTGCTCACACAAAATGCATGACTTTGTGGCATTATCAGAAAAGGTTAGTAGTGACGATACTTAAATTATAAGAAACGATTATGCATTATTGCAAGAAATCTAAATGCTGATGTTTTATTTACAGAACCAGATTCTACTACCCAAGTTTAATCAGATTTACATGAACATTGAGGAAACGCTGCTGCGGGTTTGCCAGACAAAGGAGGTGAGTACCTATATTTATTATATATCTTTTTTGATGAAGAACCCAGGGATGTATAATTGTTGCAAAATATATATATATATATGTCATGCAGTAATAAAAATAAATAAATTTAGGCCAGGTAGGCCAAAAAGGATAAAGCTCCATAAGATAGGCAAGCATTTTCGGTGATAAATAGTACATAATACGCATATGACTAGAGATAATAGATAATACATAATATCATCAGCCATTTCATACCCGTAACGATAAGATAATCTTATCATAACTTATTATAACTCTATCATATATATTGCACTTTTCCGAATCTGCAAGCTCTTCGGCTTCGTAATCTTATGGACTTACGATTTTTACTTTATATATATTATAATGGCAACGAGTCAGATATATGTTACGACTAAATTATTTAGAACATAACGCTTTATGTATGTGCTTTACTCTTCGTCGTTCGATGTTTGAGTTTTGTCTTTATGTTTGTCTTTCTCCTCTTGCTGTTTCTTCAATTTCTTCTCCTTTAGTTTTGCCTCCATCTCTTTAAACTTGAGTTCTAAATATCGATCTACTTCGGGACCGGTAAAATCTTCGGGAAACTTGGGCATAATAGGCAGAATATATTTGTACAATCGCTCGTTTAAAACGTATAGTTGAGTAGTTGTCTCGCATTTTACATTAAACCACCAATCACAGGTCAACGCTACCTGACTAAATATCGTGCCGTTCGGACATAAAAATGATGATTTACCACCGTTGAGATCGCAGTAATGCCACACCTGAAAACAATATTATTATTATTAATACGATATTTTAAATAGTGTAAAACACCGCGGACACAGAAAATTTAAAAGAAAGAGATCGTAAGAAAATAAAAGTCGTATAAAGATTTACGAATTAAAAAAAAAATATATTTTACAGCCGTTCCGTTTCCGCGTATACTCACTTGGCATCTGGTCGCTGGATCACCGAAGAACCCTTTGTACCTTTGATCTTTACAATTGAAATCTGTTTCCGGTATAATTGCGTACGCCGGATAGTCGATGTGGGGTTTTCCGCGCGTCGCACCGTACTTCAAGGATGTTTTCGGTCCTGGGCGCGTAATTTCGTTGGGCGCTACATATTCCTGACTTATAGATGCCTCGGTAGAAATCGGCAAGGTGTATGGTTCGTCCTTAGGTAGGATGTCATCACTGAGATCTTCCGTGATCTCGTAGGTGTGTTCGGTCGTATCAGGCCTGGGAGTTGGCCTGAATCTTTGCTGATTAGGTTTATTTGAAATATCCTGAATATAAGGAATGTAGTATTCTACTTTTTCATCTTTTATATGATTTACATTGTAATCTGGTTGTAACGGTGTCTTGATTTGGACGTCGCCGTCGTTCGCTATCTTGTATCGTTCGGGATCATCTGTGATTAATAGAGGATTCGGTGTCGCTTGGAATCTCGTCTCGGTAATCACTTTCGGCCGCGTGTATGTTTTCGGCTTGTAATTAGTCAATCTTGGCGGCGACGGTAACGGTCTTTGCGGCTGCGGCAACGGTCCTTGTGACTGCGGCGAATTTTCCTGCCGCGAATTGTGCAGAATATTAAGAATCTCCAGGAGTGTCTTGATACTGCTGTCGATGTTATCTTTGTTCAACGTCTCCGGCAGTTGTTCGGATAACTGAAAACTCTCGATTAAATTGTTGATATTCACGTTCGGCTTTCGATAAATGTGCGAGGTGACGGATGATTTCACCGACTGCTGCTGCACATTCGCATGTATTGGCGGCGGGATGTATCTCAGACCGTCGAATTCTTTACTGGGATAGTTAACGATAACGTTCGGTATCTTCGCCGTATCCTGGTCGTAATCGTCCTGCAGATCGCCGAGCGGCGGTTTTTTGACAAAGTGTTGCTCTCGCGGGGGAACGGGAGGTCGCAGAGGTCTCGCGGTGACGAAATATCGATTTTCCTTGTGCAAGATCTGACTGGAAGGCGTGGTAATCTCGGGATAGGCCTTTTCTATTTGATAGAGCTGATAAGACGGAGTGGAATAGTCAGCATAATTGATCTTGGTGCTGTACTTGACCGGTGCAAAGTAGTCGTTGTCGCCTCCGATGTTTCTGGGATCGAATTGCACGGATGGAACGAACTTCTTGTCCTGACCGGGTAAATTGACGCGGTATTTGTTACTTCCTCGCCTCGGCACGCCACTGAGCCGGATCAAAGGATGCTGCTGTGGCGGCGAGGATTTCCGGAGCAAGTTGGTCGATGGATCTTTCGCGTAATTTTGCTCCAACGTAGCTTGGGCGTGCAAGTAGTTATTGGCGACATAGAAAGTCATATAGGGTATCAATCTCCGGTACCTTTCCTTGAATGTTGTCAGATTCATGTTCTCGAATAGCTCTTCCTCGTCATTCTCGGAAATAGTGCTGGTCGTGTTCGTTTTTGCCGCTTCCGATGCTGCGAAGCTTCGCATTAAGAAAACTGCAACTGAAAAAAGAAATCGCTTTTTATTGCCACCGTTGTTTTTTAACGAGCTTTACAGCGCGATTTTTAATAGTATTTTATATCGAATACTCGAAAAAAGAAAAGGAGAGGAAAAAAAAAAGAAAAAAAACATACACACATATGTATTATAATTAAATTAGATCTTGAGATTTAAAACTCGCGAATTTGTTGCAAAATAGTAGTATAGTTTTGTATTTTCGATGCGTTATCGTGATTGTACGAAGGACCACGAAAGAAGGCGGAGAGAAAATGAGATAAGGCGATATGTCTGAAACGTCCCGACAAAGACGAATCGCGAAAAAGAAGGAGGAGGAGGTCGGTCGAGAGTTGAAAGTTGAGTCTGTGGCGATCAAGATGTAGAGAACTGGTGAATCGGTACGTTTTTAGTGGTTGCATTGCTTGAACGTGCCAGCGCGCGAATATATCCTCTATGCCACAGGAATACCGATATACGCGCGCACTCGTTGCCTTTATTCTATCTCGCTATCTCGTGGCACGTACAAAAGCACTGGCCGGCTCTCCGAATATTTTCCTTCTAATTTAATTTCATCTGGCGGAGAGCGCGTACAGTACCGCGCGCGTTACCTCGCACATTTCCGAGAACGAGGGAAGAGACTGACATGGGGATGGATCACGCGGTGGCTTTTCGAGGGGTCGATTAGAGATGTAGGTATCTCATGCAGGACACTGGAATGTCGTAAAGGGAAATTCTTTCTGTCTCGTGCTCGTTTTATATATATATCTCGTTCAATAACAATAAAATTTTTCTTAATCGATCGTATTTTCTATATTATTTATGTTTACGAAATAATAGTTTATGAAAAATTAAATTTTTTATACTTATATAAAGTATTCTACGAACACGTACAATATTCATTTCTCCACGATACAGTGCGGTATGTTCTCCCATGAGAGCAATTGTATCATTATATATTTTAGTCTACTATATATGTGATTGTTTCTATTTGAATAATTTTGTCATTGGATATTCTTTTCCCGACAAAATCAATAACATTAAGAAAGTAATTACGCTCTGGATATTTTTAATTCCATCATATAAAATGATATATTTTTAATTTTATGATATAAAATTTTATACTTCGTGCGTAATGCACGTAATAAATATTCGGAATTAAATTATTTGGAACTTTGATTCTCTTTTTCATAAGAAATATAAATTTTCGAAAGAAGCAATATTAAACAAAAATAATTATATACAAATTTTTTTAATTTTTTTATCATTCATATAAAATCTTATATTTTGTGAAGCATATGATAATTATTGAAATCATCAAAACCTGAAATTCTCGATTTTGTTCCAAAAGATATCAATTTTTAAAGAATTAAACGAATCACACATGTGCTAATTTTCTACGATACTGTCTTCGTTTATCCCATAGATATTCTTCACGCGCGCGGAACGCTTCACGAATATACCCTCGTTCACTTTTCAATTTGCGAGCTCTCGTCACATCGTCCGGCTGGCGATATTGCAATATGAAACGCGAAGGGGGGCTGCGGGGGCCTGGAATAGCGGACTGCGCAGTCCGAGTGATGCCGGATATAAACCCGCCTCACTAAACTCGCCATGAATTTTTATAAACCGATTATTTAGCGTCGATGTAACAAAGTGCAGCGCGCCCGCTGAAAGAGCATCGCCGACGCTACGAGCCGACGATGCACATCAAAGGGTTGCGCGTTCCAACCCCGTATATTTCTCTCTCTCATTCTCTCTCTCTCTCTTCTCCCTCCCGCTCTCTTCGTGGGTTACACACAGTTATATACACCGGTCCCGACCTGGAAATCCAATTCGATTCTGCATGAAATGAGTCTGGAAACTCTGTCCGCGTTGCGGCGCGGAGCACGGCTCGGCGCGCTTTATTAATCCTGTCAGCGCGAAACATGATTGAAAAATTCGCAAAGCGCGTGTGCGCGATCTCTAAGAGACGCTCGTCTTGAGAATTTTCAAAGCGCGACGTGACATCATTCGCGAAATACATTTTCTGCATCGTGCATATAAAGAGACTCGATCGCGCGTCTTTGGGGAAAAATTTTCGCGCGGATCCGCCTCGGAATATCGCGTTTAAGTCCGAATCAAAGAAAATCTCCGTTTGTATTCCGCCGAATACGACCTTACACGTCGCGCATCCGGCATCCGTTATTCGGATTTAAAAAAATAATTATCGTCGGAAAAATTACGCGCATCGATTATACGTTAAGGAATTAACACGAGGATACAGATGAATCTCGATAACATCCGACTTTTTTATTATAAAAATTAGATTTTTATCTTCTCGTAGACGGATCGAACAATGACTTTTCATTCTTACCGTCTGTCATAATAAAAAATAATTATCTCTCAAATTAGATCTCAGCCAAACAATTTGATTGCTTTTTTTCTTTATAGTCATAGTCGATGTCTCTCCCAATCTCTTCCTTGTTCTCTCCCTTTGTTCCCGTAACAATATCTGTTCGACCGTCGAAATTCTAACTCGAATTCTTCGTTGCGCAACACCTATTGTACGTATAATTCGAAAGTACGACACGCTGCGTGGGATGCCACGTCGATCCATCGGTAACCCGATACGGAATATTAATTGGCGAGTATTGGTCTCCCGGATTACGTTATTTCGAATGCGCGTGACTTGGAAGCTTGACAGACGCGTCGGGAGGACGAAAGAGAGAGGGGGAGAACCGCGAAACACATAGATGTGGCCAGAATACAGACGTTGCTTTGTGCATTCGGTTCTAAAATTCTAAAATTTAATTACAAGTTTCTCCGAATACATGATATCTAATTAATTTTCGACGAGTTGATAACATTTATGTACGGAACGATATGAGATCTGTCTGTTTTCGCGGCGTGCAGTTCGGAGTAACGAACATACCGTACCCTCGCTCTCGTCTCTGCAATACGCGATATTCGCAATGTAGAACACAGCATTCAGCAAAAACTAACTGCTACGAATAATTGATGCCGCTACGGTGCGCGATGGACGGGAAACCCACCGTCGAAGCTCCCAATCGCGCGTGGCTGAAATTACTGCGTGCGCCACTTTATTTATTGCATGGACACGAGACGAAGGGCCTGCCGCGACCGAGCGGTGCAATATGCGCGGGAAAATAAAGCCATTTTTCATTCTTGGTCGCGAGGACGGAAATTCTTAATGAGTGAAATATTGCGATTGCCGCTCGATATCGGAGAAACATAGCGTGTTGCTAAGCTTTTGAAATCGGAATAGTTTCGAGAGGCTTTTTGCAGGTATTATTGAATTTGTCGTGTGTGTCCTATGGTTTACTCGTATAATTTAATATAATAATTAGAAAAATTTTAATAAAGAAGAAAGTATGAAAAAATATAGAAAACTTATTTTATTTATTACTCGTTGATTAAATGTTTAATTTCGTAAGTCATGTTTTCCATTTATGTTTTGCGTATATACGCATTTTAATAATTTCATTATTTTTGTATCGAGACTATCAGCAACATTATGTTGCTATCGATGCATATTTTGATTATCTAAGATTATAAGCGATGAACAGTCTCTCGCTTCGAAGCCAAGCGAAAGGAAGCGCGCGTTTTTTTTTTTTTTTTGCGATGTGAGTATGCACGCAAAATTGTGGGTAAACATGATTCGCATATAGCGTATACATCGCTGCCGCAATGAACGAGAATAAAAAACACGATTATAGCCGCGGAACACATCGGAGAAAAATCTATTAAATAATGCATTTTCAAAAAAAATCATGTATATCAATGAGTAGATTATCAAGAAAATTAAATAAATTTTCTCTCGATACGAAGTTTAAGGATAAAGAGTACATATGATATGACGAAATTTTGCAATATTAGCACACATCCATATCTGCAAACAGGAACCTGCTGAAATTTTAAACATTTCTTTATAAAACACATTATATAACAATTTCTTAATTTAAATTTTTATTTAACTTTAATTATATTTTTATCATTAATTTTATCAACAAGTCGGTGATTTAGATTCTAATTGAATGTGCTACGTTCTACAATCATAAAAATATATGGCAGTATATATATAATGCGAAAAAAATGTTGATACTTAATGGCCGGATGATATTTTCTTGCGTTTTTACATTTGCTCGTTATTTATGTCATGTATGAATTTCTCGACATTCTCGTCGGAGAAATTCTCCAGAATGCCACGGAATTCGTATTCGAACTTCACGCGTATCCCGTCGCTAGTTGCGAACCGCGTTAATACGCGTCTCTGGGTTTACGGTTGACCCATCTCAGTATGGAGCTTTCCGGAAATCCGGAAAAGCGTGGGCGTGCCGCGCGCATTTTGCATGTCATTTAATTAAAGCTGGAAAACGAGCCGCGTAATGACACTCGCGCGCGCACGAGGGCTTGTTGCGTTTCGATGCCGCGGACCATCCAGCCTTCCTCGTCCGGATATAAACAGGACAGGGTCGACCGAACGATTCGACCGGAGAATTTGTGCGAATGCAAATGCTCGCCAGGATCTCTCTACTTTGTTCCATTGCACCGCGCGGTTAGTTGTAACCGTTACTGAACCTTAAGGGGATACAAAGCGGTGAAATTGGACGGAACAAGAACGGAAATGTAAGTTAGTTAGATGAGGAGCATCGACGAAGACTATTCCTTGGTATATATCATATATATATATATATATATATCATTCAGATATCTCCTTGCTCTGGAGATACCAAGGAATAGTTTCTTCGCCGTGCAGGCCATAACACTTGCATTAGATGTTATTAAAAAGAAGAAAGAAAAATTTTGAAAATGTCAAATGTTCTTCCTGAGACAAGTTTTCATTTTAATTTTCCACATTTTTATCGATATCTCTTGATTTTCATTCGATATTAGAAAAATGTAGCGATTTGATACTCGTGTTTTGTACGGTCCTTGCTTTTTTCAGTTTGCGGAATTTTAGAAATGGAGATAGTTTTATTTTTGAATATAATATGAATAATACGAT